TCTACCTGTGCCCCTGGAGCAATCCCACTGTCCAGGTGGGAGGTGCAGCCAGGCTGCTCCATGAGAAGCCTTGGGTGTTGGAAACACCCTCTCTACCCTCTCCCCTCCTCGAGAGGAAAGGGAGGCTCCTGCTCGTGTTGTGGAATAAGCCTGAGCTGGGCAAACTTCTCCAGCTGGCTCTTCCCAGCCCCAGGGCAGTGGGTGTGTGGAGGTCCTGAACCAGCCAGAGCCAGTGGGAACCCAGAACTGAATGCCCCCCGAGCTCTGCAGCCCTCGGGAGGGTTCTGACACCCCTCCACACCAGCCTGGCAGGGCAGTTTGGTCTCTGGGGGCTGCAGGAGCAGCCGTGAGACACCAGGGGTGAGGCAGAGATAGGGAGGTGGTGGCAGCAGCTGTTCAGGATGTGCTGCTGATTCCGTGTCATCTCCCGCCCTTTTTGGAAATCGAGAGTTTGGAGCAAGGCAGAGAGAAAGGAGGAGCAGCCCCTGATAAAGGTCCCCAGGGATGTCCCCACAGCCCCGGGGAGCTGCCCCAGCTGGGAGGCCACGATAGGTCCTGTGTGTTCACCTCCCTGCCCCGGGCACAGGGACAGAGATCATCCCCTCCTTCCTCCCGGCTCTGCCTCTTCCTCTCTCTGTCTGGAGGTTTCTCCAAAACCTCCCTTAACTTTCCCTGGCAGAGTTTCTGCCCTGGCTCCACTCGCTGCCCCTCTTGTGCAATTCCCTGGGGGGTGGCCTTGGTCCCTCTGAGGGTCCCGCCTGGTGATGGTGGGCTGGGAAATCCCTGAGTCCTCTGTCCCAGGAAAGGCAGTTCGGAAGAGAGAAAAAAAAAAAGAGTGAAGACAATGTTTGTGGCTACAACCTGTTGGTGCTGGATCACATCCCTGGGCAGAGCTTCCCTCTGTGTCACTTGGGTTTGGTGTGAGGAATTCCACCGAGCCACAGAGGTTCCGGGGTAACCCCAAGAACCGATGTAAGCGAGTTTTCTGTGGCTGTGGAACCGTCCAGTTTGGCTGGAGGGAAGGAGATGGAGGGGACAAGGCTGATGTTGGCCCGTGGAGATGGGGAGGAGCAGGGCTGTGCTGGGAAAGGCTCCTCGGGCAAGGAGGGCCGAGCTCTGCCCACACTGCACAGGGAGGGTTGTATCTGTCTGGCAGAGCTGGCACTTCCTCAGCCCCACCACCAGCGGGGTCTGTTCTGGGGTAAAAACTTAAGGCTCTGAAGGGCTGATAAACCGAGTTCCCACGGGCCAGGCGAAGCTCCTGTGGCTCGGGGGCACACGGGGGGCACGGGCCACGCTTCACGTGCACACAGCTGTCACCACCTCGCTTTGTCTGCGCCGAGTGAAGGCTCCACATCTGGCTGTGGCGGTTGAACAGGCTCGATTTAATCACAGACCCAGAGAGGGGAGGGGAGAGGGCTGGGGAGATCGGGGGAGCTCAGGGGAGCTCAGGGGAGCTCAGGGCACCT